AAAAGCACGTGAAAAATATCTTAAACTTCGTCGACGAATTATAGGCCCTAAGACTACAGGTAGTTTAAAATGTTTAATGGACGTTGCCTCACGACGTATGGTCATATTATATGACTCATATAATGCAGATCCCAACAAGGTAGGTCATTCAAATACAGAAATCCCGGACATACAGGGTAAAGGTTCTACTACGGGTAAGTATTCGTTGTTTAGGTTTTATGCCCTTGTTTATGTTCTTTTTTTGTTGTTGTTAGATACAAAGTCAATGTTCGACGTTGATTATTGTTTCCGTAACGTCGTGGATGATTCGCAAGCTCACAGCAGTGAATCTAGTTTGCCTGTGGACGAAGCTAATCGTTTAGATGAGCGTAAGGTGGTTTGCAGCCTTTGTTATCTACCTCGTTTTTTTTGGTTATTTTACAGGGATACTTCAACTTGCGTGTTCACAAGATAATACCGGTCCTATGACTGTCAACACCTTCGCGCGTACATCAAACAAGTGTAGGGCAAGTGAAAGTTCTAAATACAAGTGTACAACTCATGATGCAACTGATGGTAATACTGCACCACTGTGACTGTTCTACGACCATGTTTTTTAGACAATGACCTTACTTCTGTTGGACAGGAAAGCACCACTCACCACGAACTTTTGCGTAGTAATTTCTAGTATAATACTTTTATTTCTATGTGTCTTTCGTTGTAGACGATGCTGCTTCGGCTTCTTCTGCAAAGCAGAACGTGCGTTCACCTACGAAATCTAACTGTACTATATCTATGTTTAAATTGGACTGAGTTGTGTAGTTTTGTAGGTGCTGATGATATTGGTAAGCAGAATACTACGAAGTCTTCAAAAGGTATTTTATTTTCTCTCGTATGTTTTTCTTACTCTTATTTTGTTTAGATTTTCGTTCTACACCTACTATTGTAAGAGCCTTCACTGCTACGTTGTTGCCTTCTACCGATGGGTCTATGAGGAGCGTCACGAGTAATATTGGGATCGTGCATTGTTATACACGTATTACTTTTCTCAT